TCACTGTGATGCTGTTAAATGATTTATTTTTAGATTGTTGAAAGTTCACTTAGGGGCTGTATGGTATCATTAATGAAGTAATGGTTAAAATATGACTCTGGTCTTATTTTATCTTGACTTCTGTGACTTTGAGAGTGTTGAAGGTTTCTTCAGAAGTAGGCTGTCCTAGAACACAAGCATTGCTATTTTGACCTTTAGCTAGAAGTCTTTGTAGAACTTTCTCCAAACTTACTATGTTGATTAAGTGATTGTGTCTTTTAGTCATTCATTCATTCAAGCATAAATGTTCAAGGGCCAGATATTGGTCAATGAAATTGGGAGATACAGAGAAACAAGTATATCCTTGGGATATGAGCGTGTACAGTAAAACTGCAGAGCAGAGAACTAAGGACCGATAGAAGTCTGAGTGCTCTGGCATCAAGAGTAGAACTGCCTGTCAGCTGACTGCAAAAATGATAGTTAAGATAACATAATATTGCCACAATGGGATGAACTTCGAAAAACACTTGAAGTGAAATAAACCAGACATGAAAGGGTAAATATTGTATGATATCACGTATATGAGGCACCTAGAATAGTGTGTTTAGAGAGACAGAAAGTAGCTAGGATTCCCCAGAGTGGAGGACTGGCAGGCAGTGGGAGTCATTACTGAAGGGGCGCAGAGTTTCAGTGTGGAATGATGAAGAGGTTCTGGAGATGAATGGCGGTGATGGCTGCACAGCATTCTGAAAGTTCTTAATGTCACTGAATTATACATCCCAAAGTGATCAAAATAGGGGATTTTATGTTTCATCTACTTACCACAATAAAACAGAAAAAATAGGAACCAAAAAAATGTATCATTTATAGCCCTATCTCTATTCTTCTATTCAAGCTAATAGCTTTATGTGAAATGACATATTTAATAAATTCTAAATTCCTGTTTTATTTAATTGAAAAAAAATGCCTACATACTTCAACATGGATGATCCTTGAAAACATTATGAGTAAAAGAAGCCAGTTACAAAAGCTATATTTTATGTCTATTTATATGAAATACCCAGAACAGGCATTTTGTAAAGCTCACAAGTAAACTAGTGTTTGTTGGGGCCTCGGGCAAAGGAACTGTGGGACAGTGGGCAGTGAGAAGAGATGTAGGTCAGCACAGCGTTTGGGGGGAATGAACACATTCTAAAATTAGACTGTGTGATGGGTGCACCATACTGCTAATATTTTTTAAAAATCTAATTGCGTACTTTTAATGGGTGAGTTTTTTGATATGTGAATTTTATCTCACATAAGTTATTAAAAAATGCTTACAGGCAACAGTGTAGTTTCTTTTCTTTTTCTTTTTTTTTTTTTGAAGTGTTGTCTCTGTTATATATCTTACTTAGGTCAATTGAAAGCAACATAGCAAAGTTTAGGGCTTTCAATATGCAGGTACTTTCTAACGAAGCTATGATCTAAGAGACTTTCTGATGGATGATTATCAATGTGAATGCAAAGACATCTGAATGCAAGTATTAATATATTTTATTTTATACACTCACACTGAGTGGCTTTGTTAAACTGGTAGGTAGAATATGATGACTAATTTGATGACTGCAGGGCAATAAAAATGGACATAGGATTTAAAAAAAAAATAAATGTTTCTGTACACAGGATTGCTGTTTTAAATTAGCCAGTTTTTACCGAAGTTATTTTTTCTTTGCTTTTCAAGTTTATTTAGAAAATGACAAACCTTGAGATGATTACCAATTTGTAATAGGTGAGCTCCATGTAAAAGCCCCAGGTAGAAATATTGCTGTTCTGATTAGCTATTCTCTGGTCTCTGCTATAAAATAGTTGCCATCTGTAACATAAATGTCCTTATGTTAAAATAGATGTGGTGTTTGCATGCTGGTTGCTACCGGAGCTCCTTGACACACACATATGCACACGCCCTTTGTGTGTACACAGGCCCACTTGCATGCTTGCCCATCAGCTCAGAGCTCTCACCCAGCTCAGAGCTCAGGTTGCTCACGGCTACCATTCTTCTGTTAGCCACACTGAACTGAGTGCTCCCCTTTTCTGCTTAACCTGGGCCCTGTGCATCTTTTCCACAGCAACATAAGCTGTGAGTCTAACCTGAAACTCCAACAGACTTTTAGAAATCTAGTCCATGGTGGAGTTACCTATAAAGTGTCTGATTTTTTGCTTATGTATGTATTAACTTATGTATTCACATATAATTTTACACTTGTTCCAAAAATCAAGGCAGGCTGGTTATATGCTTGTTTACCTGCTTGAATATGCACTTGCTTACCTGTTTTAGCCAAACTGAACTATTATATTCATGTTAGCACGGGCCTAGCCATCGTGGAGATCCAGAGAGAGAATGAAAACATAACCTCTGCTCTCGCAGAGCTTCCATCTTGGCAGTTTGTTACCATTATTGCAGGAGAGAACCAAGGACACACTTTGGTAACTCCAGGAACAGGTTCCCAAGGATTCATAGAGGAAAAGGTAATCTTTTTCACAGGAGAGCTTGTAGCTATATGCCAAACCTTAAAAATAGAAGAATTTTGAAAAGTGAAGAAGAGATCAAAGATTACCTTGAACTAACAGTGCTGAATGAGAACAGGGATAGAAGAAAAAAACAAAACAAAAAAAATTATACTGTGTTTCTTTCAGGTACATTATGTTAAGTCATAGTTCTTTTAGTAAGGGAAATACAGACTTTAACGGAGGGGCAAGTTTATTTCCTGTTCTGATGCCTACTATATAAATTTGCAAAGTCTGTAGTATGAAGCTGAGGTAATTACTAATGGAGAAGTCTTATTTTGAGAGCCAAAGGGAAAAACCACCAAATTTCTCCCCCTTGTTTGCTGTTAACGGTTTGCTTTGTAAATCATACTGTAACAGGGCAAGCTTCATCTAGTATGTGTCCTGTTTATGGTAGTGGGCCACCCTGAGTGTTTCCTAGAGAAACTGCACTCCCCTGTCTGCCCCGGGCAGAATCGTGTTTGCTGGGAATGTCCGTCAAATTTATTTTATGTAAATCAATACAAATTATCTCTCCTTCACTTACTAGTTAAGGGAACTAGCATATTGAAAAGATGCTCTATTTATTGATGGGTTTCCATTAATCTGTGTGAAAATGTGCTCCTGGGGAACTTTAAATACTCTCCAGGGAATAAGATTAGATGTTTACATATAAGCACCTGCCGGATTATTTTATTTTATTTTCACTCTGAGGTGGGGATTACCACCACGGTTTCCATTTTACAGATGAGAAAACCAAGACACAGAGATTGAAAGTGAAAATTGTGTTGTTAAGGTCATGTTGAGACACGTCGGAAGTTAATAATTCTGAGTGTTCTGCCCCTTTAGAAAACTAACATTTTTGTGCAGCTACTCCCCCCGCCCCCCACACACACACACTGTTTGGGGGTCTTGATGTTCAGGTGTGAAAAACTTGAAAGGCAGAGAATATTGCAGAAGGCCAACATATTCCCTGTAGTTAGTCAGTGTTACCTGGAAAGCCTACTGGCTAAATATCCAGTTCTGTGAAGGGAATGTTCAGGTGATATGTTAACAGTTATTTTTCTGCTAAATAAGAAGTTCTTCAACTCCAGTTCCAACATAGCTACCACATGTAATGAGGTATATATATATAGTACCTATTAATTTCTGGCAGTGAGGGTAAGTAAAGGATACCCAAGAGTAATGTTGTTTGTTTTAATTTCTTAGTCAAAAGGACTTGTAAAAATAACTAAGCTGCTACCAAGAAGGTGACTGATGTGAGTTCATTGCTGTTTTCTTCCACTTTGGTAAAAATGCTAGTTTTCAGAGTCTGCGGAAAGAAAACAGAAACAAAGGGCATGGTTGATACGTGCACAAGACTTCCCGCTGAGTAACCGGGAGATTGCTGTTACAGATTCATCTGGCTCTTTGACTCCATGAGATTCCTCGAGACACTATTCTAAGGGTTAGAGTGAAATAATATGTTCAAGTACAGTACTTTGAAAACTAAAAATCATTGGACTCATGCAGATTATTAAAAAGCAGCTCCTTTCTTGACATTTACATCTCTGTTAGATTCTTTGTACTCTTTCTGCCCCATCTTCTCCTCCCTCCCTCCTTTTCCCCTTCACCTCCATTCCTTCCTTCCCTCCCCCCACCACCGTTGATGAGGAGACTGCTTGCAGCAGTGGAGGAGAGCTAAATTAGCCAATTTTCTTATTGTTTGCGGAAATGGTTAAGTTACTAAAGCTTTCCTTTTATTACTCTTTTTCTTACTCCCTCTGTATCCATGGAGGAATTTTAAAACAATCTCTGGGTTTTCTAATTTGTTTCCCTCAAATGTTCTCTCCTTAACTTTGCAAGACAGATTCTTCATCCTGTTCTCTCCTTATTTCTGTTGTTTGAAACTCTGCATCTTGAATGTAGATCAGTGACCAGTGGCAAGCTGCATTGTCTGATACTGTGCCTTTTGCTTAGTAAATTCTCAAAAAATGTGTTCCTTAGCTAGCTGAAAAAGAAACAGGTGAGTTATAGATTACTTTTCCTCCTTCAGTATTAAAAAATAAAGTGTTGATGTGCCTTGAATAATACACGAATAAACTCCTTTTTGTACTCACAACTATGAACCTACTTTTGCCCACCCTAGATTGTTGTTTCTCCGGCTAATGCAACAGGCAGAATATAAAACTGCTATGAGGGGGAAGAAAAGTATTTATTTTGAAGTACTCAAAAATATTTTTAGTCTTCAGGTGTTATACGAGTTTATCTCTGTTTTGCTACCTAAGAGAGATGATGAATGTGAGGAAATAACTCTTTAAGTGGAATTGTCCAGAAGGAATATTAAATCCCCAAATGTCATCATAGAATGCTGCCAGTTGACATTCGCTTTAAGGGCCTAGATGACTGGTCTGTTTTCTGCTCTGTTTATTTGCTTCCACTTGTGAGTGTTGATCTGAGGGAAACCATTCCCGGATTTGTTAAGATGATTAATGTTTTCTCCTTTCATTTTTTAAAAGGAAATGGCTAAAATCCTTAACCATCCCAGAGTCTACGCTTTTCTGCACATACCAGTCCAGTCTGCCTCTGACTCTGTGCTCATGGACATGAAAAGGGAATACTGCGTGGCTGACTTCAAAAGAGTGGTGGATTTTCTGAGGGAGAAGTAAGTCTGTTAGCACTTAAGAAAATAACCATTTCTTTTTTCTTTCAAAATGCACTTTTTGTAGCCACAATTAAAGGTACCAGAGTAAAGGTGAGACTTTTGAAGCTTTCAAAGCCTTTGAGTTTCCTTAGGCACCTTGATGTGGTTTTTCCTTTCTCTTCAGTTTCTATCCACCTTTCCATCTGGACATGATTCAGCAATAGTTTGTGTACGATTGCCCATCTCTCTAAGGTAATGTGCATTGTGATCATTTTTATACCTGAAAACTGCTTTAAGCTTTTCTCTGCTTAAAATCTCCTTTAATGTGGCTTTTTGAATTTGTAATCTGGTTGTGACAAGAAGGTAGGCCACATCATGGTACTACAAAATAGGTAATTTTCTACTAAGGAGCATTTCTTGAAGAGTACCTGGAATGTCTTTGCTTTTACTCACTATCCCTGTAGTTTACTTGAACTGCGATTTATAAGGAGGTTTGGGAGATTGTTTTTTAAAGTTCAAATTGTTACTGACCAAAATTGAGACATTTTGCACAGTCTCAGACATAAATGATAATTTTGGTTCCATAGAAAACACTTGCCACCCATAATTACATTCTTTAAAATCATCCTTCTCATCACCACCAAACATCAAATGCCTTTTGTGATTATACAAGGCAGGAAATCGCAGCACTGGCCAAGGTCATGCAGAGCTTTCTCGAGTCCAAGGCAGCATTCTCCCTCTGGGGATATATCATTTATCTGGCATATTTGTGGCATGGATCTTCCTACTTTCCATGATTTTTTCCCATAATTTTTTCTTCTGTTGTTTTTCTTAATTAAGACAACTTTTTATTTCCATCTTCTTGTTTATAATTATGTACCTCTGTACCATGTAGTTTATGGATATGATGGCTTTATATGAACTGTAAGCAATTATTTTTTCCACTATCAATTAGTCACTTATCCTGGCTACATACAAATCTTTGAAAATATTTTTCTTCTTCTGTTTGCTTTCCCCTTTCTTCCTCATCTTTCCTTTATGTGTCTTTCTAATTTTCTTTTCCCCTCTAGGCATTTCTTGATTGTCCTAACCACCAGAAATAAAGACACTTAGTGGGCCTTCAAACAAATACAGCTAGTTGTTTGAATATTCAAATCATTGAATAGATGGTATATTTTTTCTAGGATTTCATAATGATGATTATGAAGTTTATACAGCCTCCAAAACAGAAAATGGAATAATAACTAACCTCTACCACCTCTAACACTTTCTGATCTTCAACAGAACTGAGATCAAGGCTAAAGAATAAGGATTTTTATGTTAGATCTGTCTGTTGTTGGCCTGTATATGTCCTTTGCATTTATTCTAGTTTATACAAACTTACCTCATGTAAAAGAATCCTTGTAGGTACACTGGTGCTAGTGAATAGAATGTTTTTAAAATTTAAAAGAAATCATTGCACCTGTGACATTTCTGGCCTCTCACTTACTAGAGCAGTAACAGATAATGCACACAATTCATACCTGTTGCACAAGATTTTGCCAAGTGCAGACATGCATCCTGTTGAGCAGAATGGACTAGAATACTTTCCAACATTGCATTAATATGACTCAATGAGGTGAAGGAATCAACACCGCTCTTTTTCCTCTATTTGGGTGAGTGCTGACTCAGTTGTTTGGGGAATCACTGTGGCTACTTCACTGGGCAACAATTTCACATCAAGTTCTAGGCTTTTATGTTGCTCCAAAGAAGGACCTGTTAAATTTGTTGCATCTTGAATAGTGTCAGCAGCATCCATGAGCTGTATAAGGTCAGTGATGATCACGTCAGAGTATTAGAAAATAGTGTCGTGTCTTTATTCCTGGGCTAAGTTCATGTGTCTGTCCTCTCTTTGGTTTTGAGTTACTATGAGGCATCCATGTAGCTTTTTTTGAACCATTCCAACTGGCTGGAAGACCCTGGGACCAAGTACTCTACCCAGGGGTCTCTAGTATTTCCAGCACTACAGATTCCAGCACTAGAGTGGATATTGGAGATGCCTGGAGAAGATGCCCATCCCACACCATCCATTCAAAGGTTCAGTTTCAAGTGCTGCCAATCACTGGAATTACAGAGTATCGTTTAGCTGCTTAACATCTCCAAGAGGGTTTTTTTTTTTTTAATTCACTCTGTTATGTATATGCAGTGAAGGCAGAATCAACCATGGTATACAATTTCCCACTTAGTTGTAATTTTGTAATTTATAAGAGGTATTGAAAAATGGTAGCAGGTAGCCAATAAAATATACCTGCTATATAGAGTTGATGACTGAGAAAAATTACTAGTACCCTTTGGAAAAAAAGAAGAAATCTTATTATCTCGACTAATACAGCAATCTTTGCATAGTTTTATACAGTTCATCGACCATAAAATTGTATATTTGGTCCAGTCCATCCTGTTGCTTATCATATGCCCTCACTCCTATGAGGACACAATAGCCCAGCTTTGCTCATTAGTGAAAAAGTTTTCCTGTCCTCTTATGGAAGTGCACCCATCCAGGGAATAATTTTCAACTACAATAGACAATTTTTTCCCTAAAGATTTTATTAATTTATTTTTACAGAGAGGGAAGGGAAGGAGAAAGAGAAGGAAAGAAATATTGATGGGTTGCCTCTTGCACACCCCCAACCAGCAACATTTTTGTTTGTGGGATGATGCCCAACCTACTGAGCCACACCAGTCAGGGCTATGATGGACATTTAGAAATAAATAGTTTAAACAAACCTCTGGTCTGATACTCTGCTTATTTCTTTCTATAAAAACTACCACAGCTTTATGCCAAATAGATTAGTGCTTACTGGAAACACCAGTTTCAGGGGTTCTGTGGAACCACCAGTCTTGATAACTGATCCAGCACAAAATGGTTTTGTCCCATGTTTATTAAAATTCAATACAATAGATGGTCATCCTTAGTAAAAGGGTCTAATGCTATCATGTTGCCCTGTTTTAAGCCTGACACTGTATCAGAAAATGACCCTGACTTAGAGCGGTGTGTTGGGTGCTCTCCTCTCCTTCTGACTTTGAACTCCTGTATAAACATGCCCCATTTCATTTGCCTCTTATTTCCTCTGAAGCCTTTTTATAATAAGCCATTAACCAATAGTCTCATTTATTTTTTTTCCATCACTGTGATACTTCTCAAATATTCATGCTATGAATTAGGGACAAGGTATTTTCGAATCTGTTTCCTCAAAAAATCCAATCTTTAAAACAACCCACAAAACGTTAGAATGAAATCCAAACTCTGGGAGTGTACCTGACGCTGCAGACTTTTAAACTACTAATTCAGCAGTATTTGCGGTGCCATGTTTCTCAAACAGTGAAGGTGAAATCTTTTTAATTAATTTTCTTTCTAGTTGAAATTGGCCCAAGTTATAACTGGGAGCAATATAAGTTTACATATGAGCCAACTTGAAGCTGATTCATTATTCTTTTCATTTGTTTGAGAGTTGGCAACTATTATCATAACAGCAGCTGGATTGAAGATAACCTAGTAGTGCTGGCACGTGTTGAGGCATATGGGAATTTACTAAATCACACAACCTTTGCAAAGAAAAGTGTCTAAATTACTTAATATGCTAATTTAAAACAGCAGACCATGAGCAAACAATCATATAATGGAATTACTCTATTCATATTTTTTAAAATATATTTTATTGATTATGTGATTACAGTTGCCCCATTTTTCCCCCTGCCCTGCACATCCCCTCACACCCACATCACCCCCCAACTTAGTTCATGTCCATCAACTAAGTTCTTTGGCTTCTACATTTCCTATAGTAATCTTACCCCCCGCCCTTTCTATTTTCTACCTGCCATTTATGCTACTTATTCCCTATACCTTCACCCCTCTCTCCCCCTCCCCCACTGATAACCTTCCATGTGATCTTCATTTCTGTGATTCTGTTCCTGTTCTAGTTGTTTGCTAATTTTGTTTTTGTTTTTGTTTAGGTTCAGTTGTTGATAGTTGCAAGTTTTATTGTCATTTTACTGTTCATATTTTTTATCTTCATTTTTCTTAGATAAGTCCTTTTAACAATTCATATAATAAGGGCTGGGTGAAGATGAACTCCTTTAACTTGAGCTTATCTGAGAAGCACTTTATCTGCCCTTCCATTCTAAATTATAGCTTTGGTGGACAGAGCAACTTTGGATGTAGGTCCTTGCCTTTCATGACTTGGAATACTTCTTTCCAGCCTCTTTTTTCCTGTAAGGTTTCTTTTGAAAAATCAGCTGATAGTCTTATGGGAACTCCTTTGTAGGTAACTCTCTGCTTTTCTCTTGATGTTTTTAAGATTCTCTCATCTTTAACCTTGGGTAATATGATTATGATGTGCCTTGGTATGTGCTTCCTTGGGTCCAACTTCTTTGGGACTCTCTGAGTTTCCTAGAGTTCCTGGAAGTATATTTCCTCTGCCAGATTGGGGAAGTTCCTCCTCATTATTTGTTCAAGTAAGTTTTCAGTTTCTTTCTCTTCGTCTTCTCCTTTGGGTGCCCCTGTGATTCAGACGTTGGAACTTCCAAAGTTGTCCCGGAGGCTCCTAAGCCTCTCCTCATTTTTTTGAATTCTTGTTCTTTCATTATGTTCTGGTTGAATGTTTCTTTCTTCTTTCTGGTCCAAACCATTGATTTGAGTCCCAATTTCCTTCCCATCATTGTTGGTCCCCTGTACATTTCCCTTTATTTCACTTTTCATAGCCTTCACTTTTTCCTCTATTTTACAACCATACTTAACCAGTTCTGTGAGCATCCTGATTACCAGTGTTTTGAAGTGTGCATCTGGTAGGTTGGCTATCTCTTCGTTGCTTAGTTGTATTGTTTTCTGGAGCTTTTATTTGTTCTTTCATTTGGACCATTTTTTTTTTGTCTTGGTGGGCCTGTTACATAGTAAGGGGTAGAGCCTTAAGTGTTCACCAGGGCAGGGCAACCCATGTTGCTGTGTTTTGATGCTATATGTGGGGGTGAAGTCCAAGAGGAAACAG